CTGCTTCGTTATGGAATTGTTCTGTGGGGAAACTCAGGGGATATTAGTAAAGTTTTTAAAGTCCAAAAAAGTATTATTAGAGTGATGATAGGGGCAGAATATGGATCAAGCTGTCGTCGTTCTTTTAAGGAATTAAAAATAATGCCATTGACTTCTTTATACATCTATGAAACAGTAAATTTTGTTCATTTAAATAATACACTTTTTGATGAATTTAGACCCACTCATAGTTTCCTCAATCCATATCAAGTGGTCCAGAAATAAATTAATTGGTTGCTTCAAGATTTTAAATTTTTTTCATATTTTTATCCTTAAAAGTACATATCATTAGAAGTACAAAAATACAATTATTTTATTTTTATTTAATTTTTCTACTGTATGGCGGCCATTTTTTTGTTAGTCGAATGCCCGTTTTCAGCGATTTCAGGGCTCTACGTTAAATTAAATATCTCTGGTTTTACTAATCCTAGAACATTAAAATAAAAACCAATCTCTTCAGAAAGATCTAAACTTTAATATGGTAATATAGTTATGCACTTAAAACTAAATATATAGGTCTAAATACCTGTTTAAAGTTTAACGCAACGATGTTACGAAAACTGATTTTTAACAATTTATTTTTTCACAAAGGCAATTGACTATGTGTTTGTTATTTTTTTATCTGATAGTTATAGGTGTGTACTCCAAATTCTCAAAGTTTCAAGTTGTGGAATTGCATAGGGTTTTAAATATAAATTTTCAAAATCTTAAAATTTTCCAAATTTTAAAAGTTTGACGCTTAATATCTCTGTTGGGCATGAAAATAAAAATTTCAAATTTGGCTCAGATATAGTACTAAGTAAGAGTATTATCCTGTAATAATTTTATTTTGTGGACTCAACTGGTTTTAAAGTTATGAAACATTGAAAAACTCAAATAAGTATTATACGTGTAATAGCGTAGGAAGCATAATATTATACACTATCAATGTATTTGTTTGGTAATGTTATATTTTAATAATAGATTTTAAGCATTTTGATGTTTTAAAACACTCTACTTTGTTGTCTGCCACAGGTGTGCCTACCTACAAATCTGTGAAAGGATTGTGTTCAGGGAATTGGTAGACGTCCTTTGAATCAAAATCGAAGTTCTAATTAAATGTTTGCTACTTCTTCACTGTCTACGTAAAAGTATTGAATACCTTTAAGGTTTTTTAACAAAAGTTAAACATATCCTTAGCATTCAAAATATGGTTGTCAATGGTACATTGTAGACTATTAGTGACTTCGCTCTTTGTAGTGCCTCCTACACCATTGCAGGCATTTTTTCCGTGCGCAGTAGTGTATCAAAAAATGCCTCCCAGCTGGCATTTTAGTACCTGTGACTGAATATTTCAGTAAAAAAATTGTTTTATGATACTGTATAGCCACAACCACCTATAAATCCAGGCCGTGGTCTGGTAGAATTTGCAACGTCACAAGTAGTGTTGTTTAGCGCCAGACGTCCCATAAGATAACATGGCTGACTTGTGTATTATTAATTTAAATTTATGAACATAAATGAATTAAAAGAAAATAAATCACATAGAGTTTAAAACCAAAACAATATTAATTTAAAAACCATTTCTATAAATTTAAAGTGGAGTCAATATTTTCCGATGGTGTAGGAGGCACTACAAAGAGCGAAAACACTAATAGAGTCTACAATATACCATTGACAACCAAATTTTGAATGCTAAGGTTATGTTTAACTTTTGTTAAAAACACCTTTAAGGTATTCAATTCCTTTATGTAGACAATGAAGAAGTTGCAAAAAATGAATTAGAACTTCAATATTGATTCAATATTGAAGGACGTCTACCAATTCTCTGAACACAATCCTTTCACAGATTTTGTGGCAGACAACAAAGTACAAACAAAGTAAAACAAAGTAAGTAAAACAAAGTTTTAAAACATCAAAATGCTTAAAATATATTATTAAAATATAACATTACTAAACAAATACATTGATAGTGTATAATATTATGCTTCCTACGCTATTACACGTATAATGCTTATTTGAGTACTTTTCAATGTTTCATAACTTTAAAACCAGTTGAGTCCACAAAATAAAATTATTACAGGATAATACTCTTACTTAGTACTATATCTGAGCCAAATTTGAAATTTTTATTTTCATGCCCAACAGAGATATTAAGCGTCAAACTTTTGAAATTTGGAAAATTTTAAGATTTTGAAAATTTATATTTAAAACCCAATGCATGTCCACAACTTGAAACTTTGAGAATTTGGAGTACACACCTATAACTATCAGATAAAAAAATAACAAACACATAGTCAATTGCCTTTGTGAAAAAATAAATTGTTAAAAATCAGTTTTCGTAACATCGTTGCGTTAAACTTTAAACAGGTATTTAGACCTATATATTTAGTTTTAAGTGCATAACTATATTACCATATTAAAGTTTAGATCTTTCTGAAGAGATTGGTTTTTATTTTAATGTTCTAGGATTAGTAGAACCAGAGATATTTAATTTAACGTAGAGCTCTGAAATCGCTGAAAACGGGCATTCGACTAACAAAAAAATGGCCGCTATACAGTAGAAAAATTAAATAAAAATACAATAATTGTATTTTTGTACTTCCAATGATATGTACTTTCAAGGATAAAAATATAAAAAAAATTAAAAATCTTGAAGCAACTACCTTTGGACCACTTGAAATGGATTGACCCAGTTATAATACCCGAAACCCAAATCTGCTAAATTATCCAATTCATAAACACTCTCATTTTGAAAAAAAACCCATCTATATGGGGATTTGTTTATATAATAAGATCCCCTCAAAAATAAAATCCTATACACCACAAAAATTTAAAATTTGGACTAAATCATTATTGGTGGAGAAATCATATTACTTCCTGGCAGATTTCCTAAATGACCGTGACATTAACCCTCCCAGTGTTACTTGACGAAAATTCGATAAGCAGCACACTTTGTGTAGTGTTACTTGTCGATTTTTCGACACGCAGACATCGTTTACGGCGAAGGCTCTATGACTGACTGAATCGGATTGAACTGGATCGAGTTAGGTATCGTTCTTTCCGTAATATTCTAAGCTTTCTCCAGAGGTCTGTCTCTAAGCGCTATTCATTTTAGTTCCGAAAATATTGTAGCAGACAGCTGACGTGCGTGTATTTGTAAACAGCTAGGTTCCCCCGGACCGATGACTGATGTGTTTTATTACGTTTATCATTGTTTTAGTGTTAAAAATCAAAAGTAGTGATATACGTGGTGCATTATAAGAAGATTTAAGTGGTTTTGAAGTGCTGGTTGATGATCCTGAAGAAGTAGGTAGTGATATTGATGTAAATTATCAGCCAGATTCCTAGCTATGGTTAGGCTATGCATTCTTAGCTAAACGCTATGTACTGAAATCAGTTTTTTGCCCATAACTTATTTATTTGCAAATATACTTCCTTATATTATTATATATTTGTAATCCTCATAAAATTTAGAACAAAGTGGCTATTTTCAAATATTTATAGGCCTATAATTTATACAATTTCGTTGAGCGCGAACTTATTTTTTTTTTTGAAAATTTTCAAAATTATATTTTTTTTACCTAAAAATTTTTTTTTTTTTAATGTTCCTTATGTTTTATATATAATATTGAAGCCCATGATTTTCCAAACAAAATGGTATATAGAACATTAGAATTAACATTGTTTTAAGCTTCTCAGATCCGTTTTAATAAAACCTTGCAAATGCGCCAAAAATAGGTGGACATTAAGGCCTAAACTATGGACACTTGGAGGGTTAATTGACCATTAGTTTATGTAAAATATGACACAGAATGTTTTTAATTGTTTTTTTCTCTGATATTGCTTCAAGATCTTCATTTGAATTTGTCTTTTTTCTAACTTGTTTCAATTGGTAACTTTCTCTCAATTGTGCTGTTCTTGTTGTATTTTGTTGTAACTTATTACTTTTAGTTTTTATAACTTATTGATTGACCATGCATCTGTTCACCATTGCCTTTGTAATGAAGAATGTTTTATGCAATAAAATACTTATGACTTATGACTTATGACTTATGACACACAAGGATTACTACAATATTACAATGAAGGAGGTGATCATCCTCTTCTGCAGCTAGTGCCAATGCTACAACAGCAATTTCTTTGTCACTACTGTTGGAACTCTTAATCGCACTAACGGAAACCCCGGCACAAATAAATAATTTAGTTGCGAACAGTGACTGCGTTTGTCGTCCACTGGCATTGGGCGCTCAAAAACGACTGAACTAAGCGGACCAAACTGACGCAGTGTGTGGGAAAACTGCCAGAACTGAGATGACTGACCTTAGCAGAGCTGAGCGGACTGAACTGAGCGGACCCAGTGTGCGACGTGCCTTAGAAAGGTATTTGTTATTTCCACAGTATGATGAAAATAGTTGTTCATAAAACGCAGCAAATTGTCTTTTTGGTAGGCCTACTTAATCGTATTTCCTACAGTGTACCAAAGAGAGCCACTTTAGCTCCTAGTAATGAAAACTACTATTTTTGCTTCAGTTCAACACAACAGTGAGTTAAAACTTGTCACCAATTGGGCTGTTTTTTTTTTTTAAACAGTGGTATGGTAAAAATGAAAACTCTTAAAGCTATACATAAAAAAAGTAACAAAAAAGTAGAATCTAGATAGTTACAGTAGCCTAACACTACCAGTAGTCATATACCCCAAAAGTAAGAGATTTGTCATGTGTATCACTGTGCAGCACATTTTTCTTAAAATTAACAAAAACAGCTGGGTTAAACCAATCTACACAATTTTATAATTTTTTCCGAGGCTAAGAGGATGAATGACCTTGTTAAGATATCCATATATATAATCAATGTTCCATTGTCCAACAGAATTCTAGTAACACATGCATTGTATCATTGAGGTCTATTAAATGTTTCACATTTTTGGAGATATTTGATGTAGGCCTACATAGTGATTTACAACTATGGAGTGTACAAACCCTTTAAAGTACAAGTCGTCCTCATAGCCAGCCATGATGGTTCTATAGATGGTCTCGTCGGAAGCTGAGGAAAGACAACGTAGGATGAGCATGATAGGAGTGTAGTACAGTGTCTTGCGATGGCTGATCATCAGCCTAGCCGAGCCGTCGGTCACAAAATGAAGAACATTGTTCTGAAATAGGGATCAAGAAAGTTTTAGTATCAAAACACCAAGTTACAGATTCAAAGAAAATATAAATACTACTGAGACATTATTTAATACTATTTGGAAAAAATAGTAAATAAACATTTGGGTCGTTAGTCAACGTCAAATCAACACACGGTCATTTTACTAGTTAAATCAGATTCTAATTAAATTTGGTATGGCACCATAGAGAATAATAAAATCTCAAATATCTTGATATCACTATTTGTTTTAAAATTTCACTTAGTTACTGTTTTCAAACACAGTAAAAATTCACCCATTTGTCAAATTGCTTCAGAGCCTTTTAAAATCAAGCTAGAAAAATTAGAAGCGCGTCATTTTGCATAAAATTAAGATTACCAATATATTTTATCAAACTTTGTAATACAAAATAAATGTTTTTTTTTTAAATGTATTTGAATATGCCCCTAAGGTTGATTGATGTGTAATTTTCAAATTCGTTAAGGTATAAAGTTAGAATGTGGTGAATTTTCTTATTCTTTATGGGTCGTACATATATGCCAAATTACATGGAAATCTTTGATGGTCAGATAAACTTTTATTAAACTGTTTTGAGTTGATCATGGAATTCCCCTTTGATACATAATTGTTTCATGTTCTACCAAAGTTTAATCTAGCACAGTTCAAAGATATACTACAAACTATTTATCTACTCACAACGGACGTGTGATCCTCTCGCACACATCGCATCAGTATTCCAATGTCAGAGAACAAAGCTCCCCTAGCCTTCCACGAGGAGCGTTTAACAGCGATTGGATAGTTGCGTCTGGTTATGAGAAGCATTCGGATCAGTCTCTCGTGTCCTTTGATCACGAAATAGCCTCCCCACTCATCCACGTGTTCTTTTCTATTGATTAGTTCAGAGGGCTTCATGTCCGCAAGGTAACAGCTTTTCGACTGTAAAAAAAATGATAAATTTACTTGATGAGGTAATTGATAATATTGATGATTTATTTGACCGATTAGGTTATAAATTGAGTTAACTGCATATATAACATTGGCACGGTTAGTTTTGACTTAAACATCAACATCATTGCCTAAATGTCACTTGTGTGCTAACTTCATTACTAAATTTTGCCACAAATACAAGTAGAGTAAAGTTTTATTGACACTCCTACAGAAGTCAAATGGTCAGCAGACACATACTTACAGTAAATACAACCTAAGAAATAGTTTTTTCTCTAAATAAACAATCTTTTTTTGTGCTCTCCCAGATTCTTCAGAACCCTTACAGAGCAAAATTGAGTTAACATCCATCAGTATTATTAATTCTTTTGGTGAAAAGCCCCCTTACCTCACTTTATCACACAGTTTTTACTTTGGCGCACTCCAGTATTCCAACCAAACAACACAAAACATCTTGCTTTTATTTTGTACGTAATCTGTATACGCTTGAAAATAAGTTGGCAGCACTTAAAGATATTATGACTAACATCAGCTGGTGCAGCGTTCCTCTTTTTGTTCAATGTTTGGATTTAACCTCGCCTAAAAACTTGTACATTGATTGAAAGACTAATTATTTGATTTATTAATAACTGTAGGAAAAATATAATGTGTAACAGGAGTGCAAACTGTCTTTGCCCACTAGTCACACAAATAACTATTTCATCCTTATCAACTATATATAAAATATACTCATAAAAGGTTAACATGGGAAACTACATAGCCGCTGGGGCGGAGCACAGAAGGTTTTTTGAGATAAGAATATATCTATATGTTATTCGGAAATATGAGCTAACATCAAACCAATTTTCAGCCCAATTCGACCAGTAGTTAATGCGTGATTGAACTTTAAACAAACTAACAAATACACAAACTTTCACATTTATAATATTATATGAAGTATGATGTTAGTTTGTTGCAGCCAGTATTATTCAAACAACATAAGTTTGGGATGAAAACCCACGTAACGTAGGATTGGGAAAAAAGAAACGGATAATCAACTAATTTACCCAAGAAAAGAGTCCCAGGCAGTGACTGCTCACCAAAAAGTTCACAAGACAATTATTTTAATAGTTCACTGCTACAAGGCTACTTCTTCAGAAGGAAGTGGTAGATTTATTTTTTGCTAGGTAACATTCTACTTCCTTCTCCTGAAGCCTGTAGGGATAAAATATCAAATCGTGTTGTGGAGATTATTTGTGTGTGTCAAGTGCATATTCTTGGGTTACTTAGTTTTTAGCCATTCCTCCTTGCCTGTTGAATTCAAACATTAAGGTTAAATGAAAAAGTATTTGATTTGGAAAAAAATTGGGTTTATCAACTGTTTTCTTATTGCTTTGTCTTGTTACCACAGTATTATTTATCACGCTATATATAATTTATATTTATTGTTATATTTCCTAGGTTAGTCTCACTTGTCTCTGTTAAGTACATGTTTCTTAGACTCAAACTTTTTTACTATTTATTCATTTACCGTATGTTTTGTATTATTTATGTCTTGTTACTCCTAGGTATAAGTAGTTTTTTTTCTGTCTTAGATTTTGCATGTATCCCTATTGTATTGTTCATCAGTTTCGCAATGTTACTTAGTTTTAGTATTTAGTCATGATAAGTGTCTCACTATTATTGTAATTCTTATTGTAAATTGGTGAAATCCGTTGGCAATAAATAAATGAATAAATAAATAAATAAACAACTAAACTAGCCAAGGCAAGAGTTCCAGGCAGTTGATGAGTCCTACTACTCCCTCCTGAAGAAGAGGCATTTTAGGGGTGAAATATCAAATCATTTGAGTTGTAAATTTTTTGTGGCGTACTGTTAACTGCTTGGAGGTTAGTTGTATAGGCCTATCCATTCCCTCTTCCCCAAGCGTTATTTATTCAAACTACATTAGGTTATATTAACAAGTAAAATAGTTTTTTACCTTGACCATAATAGGCACTTGACCCACTGCATAGTCCTGGGTGGGCTGTGGCCTCCCGTCTATAAACCAATCCACCAGCACATGTAGTGATCCTGTGTAGCTACTGCCTCGCTGCCTACATTCCGTCGGGTAGATCAAATGAGACCTCACCCCGGCCGTTCCAGCTGGGACTGCAGGAGGGAGAATGTACGCTGTCTAAACACAAACTACCTTTCAAATTCTTTGTTCAAAGTATGTGGTGGTACAGTAGAACTCCAACTATCCAAATAAATTGGGCCATAAATTACTTCGGATTATAAGAAATTCGGATGGTTGATTTTTACAAAAAATCTGAGGTAGCCTATTATTTAACATAAAAGATGACGAGTTTAACCGAGGTATTACTGTGATCGCAGAACACGTCTGTGAATATTTGCGATCAAAAAATGCGAGCTTTTGTAGATTATGATTTCCTGTTACTGCCCACGAAGTTATGATGTCTACATAACCGCGGAAGATGTACAAGATTTGACCGCAATCATGGAAGACAATGATATGTTTCTGTGACAGCAGATGGTGTGCAAGATTTTGCCGCAATTTAGAAAAAGATTAGGTACCGTACATTGCTTTTGTGACAGCAGGAAATGATGATGATGTCTACAAGACCAAGGAAAAAGATTTTGCCGCGAATGTAGGCATTGAGAGAGGCGGCTGTGCAGAGCTCATTTAAGCGGCAAAATCCAGTCTCACCATTCTTGATACGCATTTAGCTTCTAATTATTATGTTTTTAATTAATTAACTTAAATAAAAATAGGCCTAGTAAAATTAAATCTTGAAAACACAAGTAGAAAATCCTAAGTCTTTAAACTTCTGGTTTAAGTTAATAATAAGGTGACTTAATATTATTCAGTCAGACCTACTCTCTGTAGCCTAAATAAACCATTATAACTTCTAGTTTACCTTGATTAAGATTTTTACTTGCTTCTCCCCAATTTTAAACTGTGCTGGAGTCAAGTTGTCAATGGCCTGTTGAAGCCCCTGGGCCAGCATGTAGTTGAATGATGATACATGGGGCTCACCAAGGGATTGTAGGAACTGTAAAGTAAGTGTGACTTGATTAAAAATTAGGAATTCCTACGCACCAATTATAGTGACAGATAAGTTTACATTGATAAGAAACGTAACAGCAAGACTTAAGTAATATTTGAACCTTCTAAACTATTGCTCACAGCTATTTCGCCTCATTAGGTTCATTGTCCTAAGCAATATGCACTTCTTGAGTGAGTTTTCTCAAGCCATAAACAGAAACAAATGCATGGCTGTAAACTATTAAGGGTAGGCCTACAGGGTTCTGCGCAGTACATTTACAGTAGAACCTCGCTAATTCTTATTTCAACAATATAGGGTACTTCGAATTATGGAAAGTTTGAAATTTAGAGAGTTTGATTTAGGTCTAAAGAGGTCAGAATATAAATAAAATTCTAAAGGAGGTCCCAGTTTTAAGTGTAGAGTGTTTGAGAGAACAGAGACTAATGGACTCATTGTAGGAACATCAATAAGAGCGTCAGTTCATGTTTCAACAGGCATATATTTTTTAAAAAAGGTTCAAATACGTCTTCAAATGTCGTCTTTAAATGTTTAATTTATTTTCGTGTAAATATGACGCTCTTCGTATGAAGAAAGAAAACTGTCCTTGTGCAGCCTGATGATGGTGTCACACAGACACCGAAACTAGTTGTTCTAACAACAAATATGGATTGCTTAATAGCAGGTATTTGAACCTTTTTTAATATTATTTGGCAATCCGGAGGCTAACAACTACAATGAATATATTTTTTCCTCAATTTGAATTACAGAGACTTACAGTAACACAGTTCGAATCGTAGAGGTTGACTTCGAATTTCGGAGTAAACAGTTTAAATTACGGTGAACAAAATTTGAATTTTAGAGACTCCAGTACACGTGCATATTCAAATTGTAGAGGCTGCATAAAGCGTAAAAATCACTTTGAATTATCGGTATCATTATTTTTTGAATTTTAAAGGTTTTCTGAGGGGAACAAACATTTTTAATTATAGAGGTTTTGGAATTAACGAGGTTCGAATTAGCGAGGTTCTACTGTATTTATTAATTTATTTCCCATCGGTTTACACCAGTTTACACACTGGATAGCCTACAATATTAACAAGATGGCTAACTTACGTATTCAATATTGTATAAAAGTGGTATCAAAAGAACATTAGGCCTACAAAAAATAACAAGTAGGCCTACCGGTAATTAATAATTAGTACTATATCAATACAAACAATGACAAGACAAGATGGTCAAGTATTGGCAGACAGCAGTGAACAAAACAACGATACATTACAATATCGGATTAAATATCGATATAAATTGATTTTGATTTGATTCTAGGTCTATATTAAAATATTGCATCGTATTTTATTTTACTAACTCAAGTTAGTGATAATATAAGTTATAGGGCTAAATAAAAACAATAACAAAACTTTAAAGATGTTGCTTTAATTGATCATACATTTCTTGTCTAAAAATGGCTCAAAGACGCCAAACATCTGACAATCTTGCTAATCACGTATTTGAAAAGTATTTAACTCTACTAAGTAACTTAGTGAAGTAACTTTAAGGTATTAAGTCCACATCCCTCTCTCCATTTATTAAAGACAATTAGCCTAGCTACCATATCTATATCTATAAAAGAGGAACTATGTATGTATGTATGTGTGTGTGTATGTGTGTATATACGTTATGGACTCCGAAACCGCTAGACAGATTGTAATAAAACTTTCAGGCATTGTTAAGCATCTTTCAAGGATGGTTCGAGTGAAGTTTGGTGCAGATCCGTCAAAAGGGCTCTGCCCTAGAGGGTTTTAAGTGGGCCAATGTCAGACTTTTTGATCCACAATGTTTACAAATGAATATAATTTAAAAGCAGATGTTTACTTTCACCAACTGTTTTGTAGGTTTGAATAATCACAACATTCTGTATTAGCATTAGTCATGATTTGAAATAGTGCCACAGTGTTTCTACAGAGTGCAGCACAGAAAACTATTTTACTTTTTAATAAGTCCAAATGTATTAAACCCCAATCGCAGCACACCTGTGCACTCAACAACGTTTAAATTCTCCAATGTTAAATATTAAAACATAAAAATCTTTATCAAAGTATTATGAACAATAAAAGAGATGACTTTTTTTTAATTTATGACAACAGTTAATTTGCAACCAAATGGTGAGTGAGCGTAGCGAACGAACATCAACCTGGAGGCGAGTAAGCGTAGCGAACGAGCTAACCTGAAAACAAGTGAGCGCAGCGAACGATTTCCAACCTGAACGTGACCAGGACGTGATTGAGCCATGCGAATACTTATGAAGTTATGCGGGGCAAAGCCCGCGGGTACAGCTAGTTAATATTCCCTGAATGTAGTTTTTTTTTGTATGTTTCCAAGTTTTGTAATTTGTTTATCTGCCTAATTTAGGCCTATTGCTGTTTTAGTTATTGCTTGTTTTGTCAACGTTCATAAAATTCAGTTTATTTTGTTTTGGTATAGGCCCTACGGTATTGTTAAGTTGGAAGCCTAGTTTAATTGATTAAACTTCAATAAAAATGTAACAGATCATACACATCAATTATGTATTTAAAAAATCGAATGCAAACCCTAAAATGCACGTTAACTCTTACATATTTAATCCAAAAATTTATTGCAGGTTCTTTGAGTAACTGTTGTAGACCTGCCCCATATAATCCACTTGCTAGGGGGGTTCCTGTGTGCATTTTATGTATAGAAAAACACCCTAAGGGATCATGTAGGTACTATGTGGGTTATCATTTTTCACGTGGGTGCCAGCTTGGCAGAGTGGGCATAACCTCAGAATCCGCCATTTTAAAAATGGCGGCGGCATTTATTACATGAAACTCATTAGGAGCTTATATCTCGAAAACGGTAATATATAGCGAGTTACTTTTATAACAATAAATGTTGCTTAGACAATAAGGAAAAACTTTTGTATTTACAAAAATGTCCTAAATATAACTATTTAGGAGTAGTTGAGCAATTTATGTTAATTCAACCTATACCTAAATTTTTACTTTGTTTGACAAAAAAATTCTAATATCTTTAAAAAACTGTTCCTTTTTAATTTTGCACATAGCACTTATTTCTATTTATATTTAAGGTCAAAATACCCCCACCGAAGCAAACCTGCAGACTAAGCAAACATTTACCTGGCTGCATTTCTACTAAAATATTAAAATTGTCATATTCATAGTATTTAACCTATACATTTTATCTCTGTTGCCAAAAAAATCAAATAATTATAAAAAAAGCTGTTATTTTGTAATTTGGCACATAGCAAAAATTATTTCTTCGCATTTAGGGTAAAAAAACCTGCAAAAAGCATTCGAGAAGCTTCTGGCAGATATATAAGCTATTAAAATAATATAACATATTTTTAAATTATTTTTTTGTTATTAAATGACGCATACAAATATAAAAATAAATATAAACCTTTCTATATACTGAATTTTTATTATTACAAATAATAATAAATCTACGGATGTAATAGAAATTATTATTATAATTCATAACATTTATTATTAAAACGGCGATGGAGCGGGAACGGGACCGGCGGCAAAGTTGGTGCATCGGCCAAGCATTGACGTCGCGTTAACACAACCAGTACCTTGACATTGTCCTTGGTGGTAGGCTGCTTTGGACTGATTGTATTGATATTGAACTAGTTTTGTGGATCATAAAATTTGAGCGCAGTTATTGGATCTAAATTATAAGCCTTTTGGGTTAAGAGGAATTATATCTGTTCCCTTTTATAGTCATCAGAAAAATTAAACTGTTCACAATATACTTGTGAGCATTGCGGCAAAGAGTAACCACCATCACTGTGTCCAAAACTCAAAGGATCGAGTTGAAAAACGTGTTCTTCCATGCAATGGATTTGGAGTAGGCTACAATAAAAAGCACGTAAGATATGCTGTATAGTAGCTCTACCAGACAGAAAATCTTTACGACCTAAGGATATTCTTTGTACAGTGACAGTGTAAGTATATCCAGTGTCTTAGATCAATCATAGTTTCACACTGAGTATCCTTTTTTTTAATGTGAACTAGATACTTCACTGTGTTTTTCAAACTTTATTCTATCTCTTCCTCCTCATCTTTTCCAAAGTCCATTAGCAAAGTACTGTACTTGGATTACATTTTAGGGTAGCACGCTTTGTTCCAAATTTGCTGGCAAAGTCACAGCCCGTTAAAATATGGAGTGCTGAGAGAACTGAGCAAAGGTTACTTCCAAGCCTGTTTGCTATAATGTGAACTAGTACATATCATGAAGTTCTGGCTGTACCAAGTCGCATCCACAAATCCTGCAAACCTTCCGAAGTGAATCCATTCATAAAGTGTAAAGCCAACACTACGACATCTGTATCCGAAGACAGAACTACGACTTAATTTGATAACTCGAGCAAAAATGATCCAATTTTGATGAAATTGATCACAAACGTGTAAACCTTCGTTTTCAGACGAATTCGGACTATTATACCAGCACGATCGGACTATGGGAACGGGGGTTTATGGGGAGTTTAATGGGGTAAAAATGGATTTTTACGATTTTCGACCCTAAAAACACGACATTTTATAATGAACGAAACCATTTTGTAGAGCTCAAAAAATAAATAACTTTGTATATTGAAGCGTTGTATGCCCAAAAGTTACGGAAATAATAAAAAAAAAAATTTTAAGTTTAAAATTCCCATGTTATTCTTATGGAGAATAAATAAACTGTTTTAGTTTGCTTGTTTATGGATATATTATAGTCAAATTTCAAAAATTTTGTTTCATTCATACTAAGCTATCAACATTTCAATAAAAATATATAAAAAACACCTAAATACCTTCCCTGAAGCAGCAAACGTAAGTACTCATTACAAATCAATGTCATTTAAATAGGAAATCAATCGATCAATTTTAATATTTTAGTAGAAATGCAGCCAGGTAAATGTTTGCTGATTCTGCAGGTTTGCTGCGACAGGGGTATTTAGACGTTAGATGTAAAGAGCAATTAGTGCTATGTGCCAAATTTAAAAAACAGTTTTTTATTTTTTTAAAGATATTAGAATTTTTTGTCAAACAGAGTAAAAATGTATAGATCAAATTAACATAAATTGCTCAACTACTCCTAAATAGTTATATTTAGGGCATTTTTGTAAATACAAAAGTTTTTCCTTATTGTGTAAGCTACATTTATTGTTATAAAAGTAACTCGCTATATATTACCGTTTTCGAGATATAAGCTCCTAATGAGTTTCATGTAATAAATGCCGCCGCCATTTTTAAAATGGCGGATTCTGAGGTTATGCCCACTCTGCCAAGCTGGCACCCACGTGAAAAATGATAACCCATATAGTACCTACATGATCCCTTAGGGTGTTTTTCTATACATAAAATGCACACAGGAACCCCCCTAGCAAGTGGATTAATAAAGGAAATCAATTTTATATTATTCTTGGTGTGTAATGACATATGTTATTGACTGTTAACCCTGTACTCTCTTTAAGTATTTCATCTGCTCTGTTTTGTTCATAGAAATCTAGACCTTTTCAGTATTAATGCCGATTTTCAACCCTTACAATACTAGGCATAAAGATTGTTTACGAGTTCAACAATACAAGTTAACTTAGTTCTCAAAAATTGGTTTTGTTCTATTAAATTGTACAATTCATTGCCAATAGTGTTGAAATCATTGCCACATTCTAAGTTTAAAAACAAAATAAAAAATGTACTCATTGATGAATGTCTTTATAAAGTTGATGATTTTTTCAATATACGCTGGGAACGTTACTGTTAGTTTTTAGTGTTGGAACATAGATTTTTGTTGTAATATTTTTCTAGGCCTAGTCATTTTTACATTTTTTACAGATGCTTGTTACTACCGTGTATGCTTTTACCATTTATTTTGTTACCGGTACATAGATTTTTAAAGTAATGTCTTTCTAGTCAAATTTATACATTTTGTACAGATGCTTATTACTACCATGTATGCTTTTACCGTATTTATTTTGTCTACATACCTAGATTTTTTTAAGTAGGCCTACCTTAATATTTGTCTACTCATTTTTACATTTTGTACAGATGCTTGGGGTACACTTCCATATCTGTTGGCACAAACAACCGGATGAGTAATATTAATTATTCGATTGTTTCATTCGATCTATCGTTTGGTTAGTTCTGGGTTAGGTACGGTAGCCTTACCTAACCAACCAAACGATGTATCGAATAGTCGATATATTGATCGATATTTTAATCTTCGGTTGTTTGTGCCAAAAGATATGGAAGTGTACCCGATGCTTGTCACTACCTTGTATGCTTTTACCACATTTACTTTGTTGCATTATGATATTTGTATCATTGAACGTACTTTATCTAGATATAATTTATGTGCTGTATTATAATATTGACGCTTGTCCATACACTGTTTTGTGTTTATGACAATTACCCTTCACTTAACTTAGTAGGAGAACTTAAGCACCAGCGTGGCAGGACACTGTGATATGATTTACAAGTCAAAAATACAGAAATTCCCTTAAGTCTTTATAAGTCATATCGGCCCCTACTTTGGGTTAATTGCTCGTCGCCCTCACTTCAAAGATTCACTAACTAGTTTTATTGTGAGAAAAGCGATATCTTACTAAAATAAACAAATGAGGGCTAGGCTTACCTCATTTTGATTTGGTGAGGGTTTTCCATACGTAGTGGAGGTTAAATTTTTCAAAGAAGGTTTTTCAATCATGGTTAAAATATCACATTACAAGTTGTATAAATATTAAGATACATTATAAGTTAAATTTGTATTAATTAAGTTAATTGATTTAACACTTCAGAAAAAAGTCACATGTAGCATTGACTTTATAGGGAAACATAACCTACAACAAGAAGAACAACACAACAATGAACAAACAGTCACAATTATAGCTCAGTGGTCACAATCCGTTCAGGGTCTGACTTAGGGGAGGTACGAATGAGGCATTAGTTCAAAATTCCTCCGTGAACAGCGCTGTAGTAGAGAGCACTTTGGCAATGAAGGTTTACTAATACTAATCGCAAAAATAGTTCTGTTCATAAAATAAAATTATAAATGCCTCAAATTCAACTTTATAATTTTTTAAATATAAAATTAAACTATCATAACATAACCGAACTAACCAAACTTGCTGATGATGAAATGATATAACAAATGTTTAGTAACGAAAAAATAATTCTGTTTATTAAATAAAACTAGAAATTGCTAAATTAAAATTTTATATTGACTTATAATAAAATTTAACTGTCATAACCGAACCAAACCAACCAAACTTGCTGATAATGAAAAAATCTTGGACAAAAAGTTAGTGCTTCCATCGGGATTCGAACCCGGGACCTTCAGCATATCAGCCCGGCACGCTGACCACTTGACCACCGAGGCCGATAAACACTGACCGTATTGTTATGGCATAGATAAAACATAGTATGTTTTATCTATGGTTATGGTAATGGCGTTCCTTCAGCTAATAAGAAGTCCACAGCTGTCATCGTAGCCTCTTCTATACCTCCCCTGAGTAAATACCATCCGTTCGTTCCTTAATCGGTTAGGGTTCACTTACTCTACGAATCATTGACACAATGAGCCTCCAAATATGTAATTCTTAAAACACATGGCTCACTTACTCTACAAATCATAGTCTATACGAGCTTCGTAAATAATATTGAAGGTTCACTTGCACTACAGGCTCGTATACTATACGAGCCGATCAAAAATATCAAATAAATTAAGAGGGTTCACTTACTCTACAGATCATAGTGCCTATGAGCCAAGCGTATGAATTCTTGAATAATTCAGGAATAAGCTCGTATAGTATACGAGCCAAAATACTGAATTTAAATAAATTACAGGAGTAGGCTCGTATACTATACGAGCCTATTTCATGATAACTATTACACAAATAGAAGATGGCTCACTTACTCTACAGTTCATTGGCACAATGATCTGTAGAGTAAGTGAACCCTCTACAAATATTATAAGGCTCACTTACTCTACGGTTCATTTAGCTACTCGTCGCGCGGTTTGCAGCGCATCGTTGCAGGCGTGTATGGTAAACCAATACCGCAGTTCTGCCGTTCTCCCTTACTTCTGCCGTTTACTAGTCTTGCAGCGTGAAAGAGAGCTTGTTATGTTAATGCATTGTTGAATTTTTAACTTGTGTACTCGTTGCTAGAAATCAAGCAATTATCAAGTACCGGTATTACAGGAGCTATTTTAAGAGTTATTACAGACTTAATTTTCAATTAATTAAAAAGACTCACGTAAAAGCTTATGCAACTAATGGAATTACTTACTGTGTTATGAACATTTCTATATAATTAAAGTTGTAAATATTTTAAAATTGTTTAGAAGATTGCCTTTTTAGTGTTTTCTACAAACGTGTCTCAACTTATACACATAGACTGGTGGAGTGGTAATTTATATTTCTAATCATTTAACTTTAAATTATGAACGCTTTCAGTCACGTGAAGTTGAATTAATTAAACTGACATTAGTTTTTACCATAAATGATAAACCTTTTGAAATTGACTTAATAGCTTTGTATAGAAACTATAAATATGATTTTTATTTTTTCCGCAATGATTTGCAACGTATTTTGAGTAATTGTAAAAACACAGCTATTATGTTAGGAGATATAAATTTATGCATTTTAGAACAAAATAACAGTGTTATTGATTATTTAAGTATAATGAACTCATTTGGTTTTGAGTCGTTTATAAATGAGCCAACTTGGGGGAGAGAAAATTGGGTAAAGTGTTTAGACCATGTATTCATCAGAAGTAAGACTAATTTAATTTTTCATAGTAATTTAGAAAACTATGACTTTACTGATCATGCTGGAGTTAATGTAAATTGCGTAACAAGTTGTGATAGTGCTTTGAAAGAGGAGTTAAGGCTGTAGATCATTCAATTTTAAAAAGAAGGTTGGCTGAAGTGAGCTGGATGCCAGTGTTTGATTGTGAGGATGTTGATAAATCTCTAACAGTTTTTTACGATATTTATAATAAATGTATTGAGCAATCAAGTTTTTTAAGGCCTATTAACAGTAAAAATAGGCATAGTAAAAATAGTAAAAATTAATAGTAAAAATTGAAGCAGTAAAGGGCTGCATCAAAGTCTTATTGGAATATATTCAAATCTATTATGAGAAAGTCAAAAAATGAACTAACATCTATTAATATAGAAAATAAAATTGTACAGGTTGAGGGTAATGAAAAAATAGTTGTTGACTCATTCAATAACTATTTTACTGGTATGCCGGATAAGCTGATTAGAGAATTGTATGGGCCGGGATTCCCCGCCATGCCGGATATCGGTCTAGCGTGCAGCTCAAGGTTACGTTTATCTGAAATTACTGAGGTAGAATTAGAAAGTTTAATCTTAAGCAAACCAAATAAACAGTCTGTTGGCTTTGATGGTATTTCCATAAATACTATAAAAGAAAATGTTAAGATTTTTGTCCCAATATTACGTCACATTTTTAATTTATGTATAAAGCTAGGTTACTTTCCTTCTAGTCTAAAAACAGCACTCATTGTTCCAGTATATAAGGCAGCTGATCCATTGCAAATGAATAATTACCGACCGATTTCACTTTTAAATACCTTTGCTAAGCTGTTAGAAACTTGTGTGAAAAGCCAATTAGTTAAATATTTTTCAGATAACAATTTATTTTCAAATAATCAATTTGGGTTCATGAAAGGTAAAAATACTGACCTAGCAGTTGAAAGACATAAGCGAGATAGTTAATCATGTTGATGAGCGTAAACCAACAATAGGAGTTTATCTTGACTTTACTAAGGCATTTCACTTAGTTAATCAAGACATATTATTACATAAACTAAAGTTATATGGAATTCAGGGAAATAGTTTTAAGTGGTTTGAGACTTTTTTAAATGAAAGAAAACGGATGGTTAAAATAAAAAACGTTTACTCAGATGTATGTTCTCAAAGGCTTGGCGTCCCTTAAGGGGGAGTGCTTGGACCAATTTTATTCACAATTTATATTAATGACATGTTATCAATGGATTTTAAATCGAAGATATATGCTTTTGCTGATGATACATCTTTAGTATGCAGTGCTAACAATTATGATTTACTGAGGATGAAAATTAATAATGATTTGGACGTAATATCAAATTGGGTGATAAGAAACAAATTAATCGTCAATACTTCTAAATCTAATGCAATGATATTTACTTACAAACCTCATTTGACAGAGTCGTTGAAAGAAGAGATCGATCTACGTTGTCATTTAGTTACTTGTTTTCGTGATTGTTGCTGTACAAAAATTAATTTTGTTGATTCGGTCAAGTATCTTGGCCTTCATATAGATTCAGATTTAAAATGGCATACACATGTTAATCAACTATGTAAAAAACGTAGAAAAATTAACTATAATTTCTTTCATTTGAGACAGTTTATTACTCCTAAACTTCTTAGAACGCTATATTTATCCTGGTTCGAATCTACTCTTAAGTATGGTTTAATTCATTGGGGAGGGACGTTTTCAACAATACTTAAACCAATTGTAATAATGCAAAAACTTACATTAAAAACTATTTGTGGTGTAAAGAAATTTGACTCAGCTGCACCACTGTTTCAGTACTTAGACGTAATGCAGCTAGAGAAGATATATTTATATTCAAATAGCTGTAACCCGCGGGCTTTGTCCCGTTTAACTTCTTAATTTTCAAGATTATCTCGTTCGCATGGCTCAATCACGTCCTGGTTGAAGTTTGTTCGCTACGCTCACTCACCTTTAGGTTGGAGCTCGTTCGCTGCACTAACTTGCCTTCAGGTTAGCTCGTTCGCTACGCTAACTCGCCTCCAGGTTGAAGTTCGTTCGCTACTCTCACTCACCTTTTGGTTGCAAATTAGCTGTTGTCATGAATGTAAAAGAAATAATAGTGCTGCACCCTGTTGGTAATCCTTGTAACTTTAATGTCATTGAACATCATAGAACAGAACCAACTTGTTAAAATTGAAACAGCTGTTAAGATTCAATAATTCCATTTCTCATAAGGTTATCATGGGAAACTCCAGAGCCACTGGGGCGGAGCCCGAAAGGATTTTTGAAATAAGAATATGCCTATATGTTAATCGGGAATGTGAGCTATCATCATGCCAAATTTCAGCCCAATCCGATCAGTATTTTTCGCGTTCACTTGTCACAAACATCCAAACTTTCTCATTTATAATATTAGCATAGATAAAACATACGTTGGTTAGTCTATGATATTAGTAGGAAGTAGGATTTTATGTTATTACTAGCTGTAACCCGCGGGCTTTGCCCCGTTTAACTTCTTAATTTTCAAGATTATCTCGTTCGCATGGCTCAATCACGTCCTGGTTGAAGTTTGTTCGCTACGCTCACTCACCTTTAGGTTGGAGCTCGTTCGCTACGCTCACTCACCTTTAGGATTTGAGCTCGTTCGCTACGCTCACTCACCTTTAGGTTGGAGCTCGTTCGCTGCGCTCACTTGCCTTCAGGTTAGCTCGTTCGCTACGCTAACTCGCCTCCAGGTTGAAGTTCGTTCGCTACGCTCACTCACCTTTTGGTTGCAAATTAGCTGTTGTCATAAATGTAAAATAAATAATAGTGCTGCACCCTGTTGGTAATTTTTGTAACTTTAATGCTATTGAACATCACAGAACAGAACCAACTTGTTTAATTGAAACAGCTGTTAAGATTCAATAATTTCATTTCTCATAAGGTTAACATGGGAAACTCCAGAGCCACTGGGGCGGAGCCAAGGCCGCACTGTGCTAGCATACAATCGTTCTTTCACTCTATCAGCTGATGTGAGTGTAAATTTGTTGCCTGTAGG